CCCGCCGGAAGATGAACTTCCGGCGATTGACGTTTTCGTCTGCACGGCGGATCCTAAAAAGGAGCCGCCGTTAAGTGTTATGAACACTATTTTATCGGTTTTAGCACTTGATTATCCTACTGAAAAATTGTCAGTGTATCTTTCTGATGATGGCAGTTCTAATTTGACACTTTATGCTATTAATGAAACATGGAAATTTGCAGAGTTTTGGGTTCCTTTTTGTAGGAAATTTGAGATAAAGAAGACTTGCCCTGAGGCATATTTTCAAGGAGTTGATGAGATTAATAGCAGCAAGGAATTCTTTCAAGAAAGAGAAAATATTCAGGTATTACCTTAATCCGTCATTAATTTGTGAATTTAAGTTTTATGCATTAACGGATAGTCTTGGAGTAACGGTAAAAAGTTTCCTGTAATGATTACGAATTCGAGTCGTGGAAACAACCACTAATGTTTGCATTAGCGTAGACTGTCTACATCCCAATCCTTTCCTGCATCCTGTGTGATTGCAGTATGCTTTATACACCATGCTGTTCCTTTTTTAAAATTTTGCACGATATCAAGTCATATTATTAAGTAATTATTGGTAAAATTTTTGAGTAGTACTTCCTCTATTCTATTTCATGTGGAATGTTTAATTCAAACCAATATTTTTTTAAACTTATGATTTAAAATAAGCCAAAACAAGTACTTAGGGTAAATTCGAATTTAAAGTAAAATTACTTTTAAATATAAAAATATGTTATTTTTTTAACTGACAAAAAAGTAACTATGTCACATAAATTAGGATAAAATTACATAAGAGAGTATTAACTAGTAATCCAATAAGCAATAATAACTAACCTACTATCACAAATTAAAATTTATTGGTAATGTGAAAAGATTCCGGTGCGATAATCAACAATTATTTTAACTCTGTGTGAGGCACTGTGCGTAAACACTTTTCTGCAAAATATGTACTTATAAAATATCTACCACTAATTTTAGATAACTGACAAGAAAGAAATTTTATTTTATATCTCATGTAACAGATATAAGTTAGGGGAGACACTTTTATTAGTTAAACATGTGAATTTATGGTCCCATTTGTATAATTAAAGGGACAATGAAAAGGTAATGCAAAATAAAATACTCAAAACAAGGAACAGAATCCCTAGACATGATAAATCGTACTAATATTTTTTCATTTTATTTTTGGGTACAATATTCTTTCATTTTTGTGGAGTGATATGAAGTACTATATTCAACAAACCAAAGCGACCAAAAGGGTTATGTTAGAGCGATAAATAGTTCTTCATCCTTAGCCACAAGTCTCAGGTTTGATCCTAGTGTATAGAGCTATTTTTGTCCGGGAGTACTTTATCCTCCCATATGAGATTTCTTGATGCGAATCCGAATTTAGTCGAGTTCCAATAGGGGTACTGGACAACGGATGGGAGACAAAAAAAAAAAAAATCAAATCAAATCAAAGCTAAAAATCTTAAATTTTTCTCTCTATGTTTTGACAAGTGTTTTAAGGGGGTAATTTGAGTTGCATATGATAATCCAAATGGATTGTAAATTTTTAGAGGAGATAGAGCAACTCCAACATTGTCCCCAAAATGGGGATTTTCCCATTTTTGGGGATAAAAATGGGAAAATTTCACTCCAACCCTTCCCCATATTTGTCCCCAGAATGAGAAGTGAATAGTGTCTCCCCAAATTTGGGGACACACTATTCATCTCCACATTTACTATTCCCCATTAAAATATTATTATTTTTATTATTTAATTTTTTAATTTATCTTTTTATATATACTTAATTATGTTTATATAATATATTTACCTAATTAATTTTTCATCTTAACTTTGATATATAATTTTGAAAAATTAATTATCTTGCATCTATTTATTTTTTTTATGTAAAATTGGTAGTTAATTTTATTATGAGTTATAATTGTATGAAAAAGAAGAATTAAGGACAAAGATTTCAAAATTTTTTAGCTCGACATAGAAGAATTGAGGACGAAGATACCCATTTTGCACTTCGTAATGCATTAATAGATCATTTATGGGAGAATAGTAGAGGTTGAAGTTGAATATTTATGTAGTATTTCGAATGAATTTTATCGTTATGTAATATGTATTTAATTAATCTTGTATCACAATGATTTCACTTTTATTTGAATTATTAGTTAATCTATAATAATTGCTTACAAATTATATTATTTAAAATTTTATGGAATTGTTTTAATGGAAATTACAAATTAATGAAAATAAAAGATGGAATTTGTTTAATGAAAATTAAAAAATAAAATTGAAATGAAAGATAATAATATAATATTGAAGAAAGAGAAGAATATAAAAAAGAATATTCTCTTTTGGGGAAAGAATTAATCGTGGTGCACTTACGGGAAACTCCTTGCCGAGGGCCTGTGCACCCCCGGGATTAGTCGGGGCTCAAAGAGACTCGGACACCCAGTGCAAAATCAAAAAAATATTATTATTTTTATTATTTAATCTTTTAATTTATCTTTTTATATATACTTAATTATGTTTGTATAATATATTTACCTAATTAATTTTTAATCTTAACTTTGACGTATAATTTAAAAAATTAACTATCGCGCATCTATTTTTTTTATATGTAAAATTGGTAGTTAATTTTATTATGAGTTATAATTGTATGAAAAAGATATAACCATCACAAAAAATGAAAGGTGCAAATATAAAATATTTGATGTTGCTAAAATTGAAATGCATTAAAATTGAAAATATATTAAAATTAGAAATACATTAAAATTGAAAATACATTAAATTAAAATACATTAAAATTAAAATTACGTTAAATAACATAATAATTTAGTAGCAAGACATGTCGTTTTTAGGTACAGCAAAATTATTATAGTACTGAGTGAATGTGGCATTAATAGATCATTTATGGGATAATACTAGAGGTTGAAGTTCAATATTTATGTAGTATTTCGAATGAATTTTATCGTTATGTAATATGTATTTAATTAATCTTGTATCACAATGATATCACTTTTATTTGAATTATTAGTTAATCTGTAATAATTTCTTACAAATTATATTATTTAAAATTTTATGGAATCGTTTTAATGGAAATTACAAATTAATGAAAATAAAAGATGGAATTTGTTTAATGAAAATTAAAAAATAAAATAAAAATAAAAGATAATAATATAATATAAAAGAGAGAGAAGAATATAAAATGAAATATTCTCTTTTGGGGAAAAATTGGGGAATGGTTGGAGGGGAAATCCCCATTTTGGGGACCAAAATTGGGGTAAAGGTGGGAAATGCCCTTGTGCATATTGACACTCCAATGAATATAAATAATATAATATTACTTCTTTTTATGCTAAGTGACTCATTAAAATAGTAGGGATTTAATTTTGCTTATCGTTACCTTTTGACAATAATATGTTTATCGGGAAAGTAAAGTAGTAAAATTTTGACCTTTAATTTGGAATTTACTAAAATTGGAAATTTTATAGGAATCAATTTAGTAACATGTTGGAAAAGAACACAGAATTTGGAGATAGATTATTTATATCCACTCACCCAAAGATCAATTTTACTTCATTTGAATGGATTTTAAACTGCGCATTTTTTATTTTATCAATTTTCGTTTCATTGATTTATTTAAGAATTTTATTTGTTCTCTTTATCTATTTTGTAGAATTACTTCTATCAATCTCTTTATTTGCGATATTATTTTCTTAAAAATTTGAAGGAGCTAGTTTTTTTAAAATATATTATTATAAAGAAAAAGTTCTGCAAGTTAGATTTATATAATTTGATGTTATGGTCTAAATACGCAGAAAGAGTACGAGGATTTCAAGGAGCGATTGAGGAAAGCTCAAGAAAATGGAGGGACAGAGGATACGATATTCCATTTTGGTTCAAACCATAATACCGTTATTGAGGTACAATTCTTTTAGTGAAAATTAACGGAAAATTAACGACCAAAAATAATTTCTTGAAAATATAATAATTATGTAGGTTATATACTTTTGGGGTATACAATTGATATGTTATATACCAAATCTCTAGCTTTAAAATGAGTAAAACTTACTTGATATGATACATCAATTACTAGTAATACTATTTTCTAATTTTGCATATGTAATTTAAGTTTTTGTTCTCTTTTTTATAATTTTTTATATAGAATCCAATATATATAGTACAAGGTTGTATTATACGAAATCAAATTGTTGGATGTGGAATTAATATCAAGTTTTTTCTTTTAATTTTTATTAACACAAATTTGCCTGTTTTAATTTCTTGCAGATAATAGGCCAGACAGGTAAAAATAGTAGCAAAGTTAAAATACCTTTGCTTGTGTATGTTTCAAGGGAGAAAAATTCTGCTCATCCTCACCATTTCAAAGCAGGAGCCCTCAATGTTCTGGTACTCTCTTTTATCTTTCCATAAATAGCTACTCCCTCCATTTTAATTTATGCGTCTTACATTTATTTTTAGTCTCTCTCTATATGTATAACTTTTTATATTCAATAACCTTATAAAATAAATATTTTTATTTTACCCTTTATGACATTCGCTTGTAGAATGATATGACATGTTTAAGATCACAAGATTCTAGAATCTTCTCTACTCCTTATAGCATCCCAAATTAGTTGCTATATTTCACCTCTCGAGAGTCATTTGACTAATCTTCGAAACTAAATTGGATTGGATCAACTCAATATTTTACAATTAAAATTTAAATATTTAAAAATTACGCGTAAAATATGACAAATTATAATTTTTCTCAAGTCATTATGATGAAAACATACATTTTAAATTATTTGTCAAAGTTCACATAGTTTGACTCTCGAGAAAGTAAACATGACAACTAATTTGGGATGGAGTGAGTATATTCTTAAATGCCGTGCTCTGTCAAACTAAGACGCATAAGATAAAACGGAAATATTACATTTTTTTCCCCAATATTAACTCGTTTTATTTTACTATTATTCTTTTTATTTTGTTAAATGTGACTGAGTAATTAATGATATTTTTGCAGCTTAGAATATCTGGAATCATAAGCAATTCTCCTTACATATTAATTTTGGATTGTGATATGCACTCAAATGATCCTTCTTCAGCTCGCCAAGCAATGTGTTTCCACCTTGATCCCAAAATTTCTCCCTCACTTGCATTTGTTCAGTTTCCTCAAAGATTTCACAACATTAGCAAGAATGATATTTATGATTCTGCCTTGAGAGCAGTTTTTGCGGTAAGATTTTCATATCCATACGTTTATTTTCTTTTATAACCGCGATGTCCAGGCTAGTTCATGCATACTCGATTAATTCCACGAGATATCTGCTTCTATATGTCTATATAGACAAGTAAAGCAGGTAAATATTTGCTCATATATTTGGGTGTTCGTATCAAATCATACAAATTTATCATGGTTAAGTGATAAATTAAGGCGCGAATATGTATTAATTACTATAGTTTAATGATAAACCATATTTGTGAAGACGCATGTCGTGTATTTATTGAGTTGATACAAACATCTGGTGCGAGTAACTTTTTGCCGACAAAAACTTGTGTATAACTGAGGTTTTGATGTTATTATTAGGTCAAGTGGCCAGGGATGGATGGGCTTATAGGACCTATTTTGTCTGGTACATGCTTCTATATGAAGAGAAAGGCTCTATATGGGACTGGTATACACAAAGGTATTGCTCAATTATAGAAAACATTTGGCCTTTTTTCCCTTAACAAAAATTTCTCTTATATGCTCTACAATTATGTTGCTCAGACTTTCTAAAAATTATTGTCGGGTGCGTGTCAGATTCTTCAAAGTAGTGTATTTTGGAGGACCTGACACGGATTTGGCAACATCGTTGAAGAGTCCGTGCAACATAGCTCTGCAGTATGCACTAATCATAATTCTTTAACTTTATAATCAGACATGGATATTAGTGAGCTGAAGAAGTGTTTTGGATCCTCAAATGAGTTCCTAAATACTCTTACAAGCACTAATCACAAGCAAAATGACACTGACATCAAGGAATTTGCTGACAATAAGATCCAAGAAGCAAAAGTTTTAGCCTCTTGCACCTATGAGCAGGATTCACAATGGGGAAACCAGGCAAGTCAATAATCACATTAATGCTGAAAACCAAGTAAATATAACTAATTAGAGGTTGCAAATAGGTAGTGATTTTAACTTGGGCGGGTCAATATAGGTTAAAGCGATAAATAGGTTATGATTCAACTCGTTCAAAGTTTGTTTGGGCTCAAAATAGGTTAAATCGATAAATAGCCTAGTCTCTTGCTTTTTTTATTTTCTTATTGAAAAAAGAATGTGAAAGCTAATGTATTTTTCTTAAATTATTAGTTTAAGTTCTTCATAATTCAATCTTCCAAGTTTGATTTTTATTTTGGGTTTGAGTTGCATTTTGACACATTGTGTTACATTATTTTGACCCGATAATATGTTGGGTCATTTTGAGTTCAACCCGTTGGGTCAAGTCAACAAACTAGTTACAATCCAATATGTTTAAACTTGGGCAGGTTAAGCGAATTACTAAAAAAATAGATTGATTTTCATTGGGATCTTTATATAAATAGCCGGTTGAGTTCACTGTTTACTTTTCTAGCCGATATACATAGATTATACACTGATTATACATAGCCATACATGGATTATACATATATTATACATCTGTCAGTTATTTTTGATTTAAGCGGTTGGGCGGGCGGCTATTTAGATTAATTTTTCATTTTAATTTGCCTCATCTAGTATATCCTAATTCTTAATTTGTTCTATCATATTTGTGCTAACTTTGAATATTGGCTTCATTATATAGATAGGATTCTTGTACCATTCAGTGGTGGAAGACTACTTCACAGGTTTTATTTTGCATTGTAAAGGCTGGAGATCTGTCTTTTATAACCCTACAAGGCCAGCATTTTTAGGCAGTGCAACAACAAATTTGAATGACACATTAGTTCAAGGCACAAGATGGAGTTCTGGACTAATTGAAGTTTTATTCTCAAGATTTTGCCCTCTAATTTATGGCTTGATCTCAAGAATGCCTCTTCTTGAATGCATGTGTTATGCTTACCTTGCATCTCAGCCTCTCTACTGCTTACCAGCTTGGTTTTTAGCTATCATTCCTCAGCTTTGTCTCCTAAATGGCATTCCCATTTACCCTAAGGTAAAATATAATACTCCCACTATTTCATCTTATATGGTATTCTTTATTTTTCGAATCATAACACAAAATAGTCGGTTGGATTCGCTATTTGCTTTTTCTTGCCGATATACATAGATTATTCACTAATTATACACAATTGTATATATGTTATACCTGGATTATATATATATATTATACATCAGTCGGTTATTTTAGTTTAAGCAGCCGGGTGAGCGGCTATTTAAGTTAATTATTCTTTATTTGTTAGTCTTGTTTAAAAGGAATTACATTTTTCTACATTGAGCACTCTATAACTGTAAACTTTCTATTTTGACTAACATGCTTTTTATAGCCATATTAATGTTATGGTAAGAAGGAGAACCTTGGTGTAACTGGTAAAGTTGCTGCCATGTGACCAGGAGGTCACGGGTTCGAGCCGTGGAAATAACCTCTTGCAGAAATGCAGGGTAAGACTGCGTACAATAGACCCTTGTGGTCTCGCCCTTCCCCGAATTCTGCGCATAGCGGAAGCTTAGTGCACCGGACTGCTCTTTATTAATGTTATGCCATGAATGCTCCAAACCACAAGTTCTAAGGTTCTTTTGGAATGTAACACAAATCTTTGTTTTTCTTTAACTTTGAGCATTTCGGTCAATCACCGTCATATAAAATGAAATGGAGGGAATATAAACTTTAATTACCCAAGACTTTAACTCTTAAAGATAGACTCTGATTGAAACTGTATCAATTTTCACAGGTCTCAAGTCCATGGTTTATTGTATATTCTTTTCTTTTCTTGTCAACACTTACCAAATACTTATGGGATGTTGTCCACACTGGAGGAACAATGAGAACATGGTGGAATGAATGTAGAGTATGGATGATAAAGTCAATAACAGCTTATTTCTATGGAAGTTTGGATGCAATCTTGAAATTGTTTGGCTTTAGAAAAGCAAGTTTCTTGCCCACAAATAAAGTTGTTGATAATGAACAATTGAAGAGATACCAAATGGGAATCTATGATTTTCAAGCATCTAAAATGCTAATTGTTCCTTTGGTTACATTGGTCATATTGAACATGGTTTCATTTGTCTTGGGAAGTGCAAAAGTGATTTTTGAAGGCAGATTGAGTGATTTGTTTGGCCAAGTTTTCCTTTCATTTTTCATCTTGATGGTGAATTATCCTATAATTGAAGGGATGATATTTAGGAAAGACAAAGGAAGTATTCCACTTTTAGTGGCTTTATTGTCTATTCTGTTCTGTATTTTACTCTTGTTTCTTGGATCTATTTTTGTAATGTAACTTGATAGGATGAAGCTGATGTATCATGATATACTTAGCTTAAAATGGGGACTATAATTATTTTGATCTCAATTTTCCTCCTGTCTTGTGTTCTTGAAAGTATTATTACGGCTTATTTTTACAAGATTATACACTATAAGATTGCGTCAGGAGATATTTATACAAGGGAATTAAAAAAATAAATTGTCAAGATTGGGATTTAAATGTATGACATAAAGCAACTTTTGAATCCCCTTCATTACAATACTTGAACCAATAGAATTCAACATCTCACATATAATAAAAAAATATATTTTTATCTTATTTGACTAGTATAATTTTCTAGACAAAGGAGGTTTGGTTAAATCTCCTTCACTCTACTTAGTTCCGCCACCGGTCAAGAGCATATAAGAGGCGAGAAAAAGGGCTAACGTAGACCATATTGGATTAATCATATTGTGGGCCGAGCAATGAACATATGACTCATTTCATACCAGAGAAGTCCATGCATAAATAGATGAAGAATTTACCTATGTAATCGTTCATCCAACTGTTTAAACTAAATATAATTGGTGGATGTTTAATGTGCGTATAATTTATAGTAATAATTTGTGTATAACCGTATATAATTTGTATGTGTGTTGTGTGTACATATATATATATATATATATATATATATATATACACGTGTCATTTCTATCTCGTTTAATCGATATACATTTATGATTACATAAATAAAAGGGTTGGACGATATAGTGACAACAATCTTTTACACTATTAGCAATATAATATCTATAGGACAAATACGTTTGATGTTCTTGCAAAGTAAGATATCTTAATGGCTCAAAATTCAGAGTTAGGTTACTCAAATACCTGAGTTAGGATTACCACCTCAACACAGGTATTTTTAAATTCCAATAGGTCACTACTTAGCGGGCATTTGGACATAAGAATTGTAAAATTCCGAAAAAGTGAAAAAAAATTTCAAGTAAAAATGGTATTTGAAAATTAGATTTGTATTTGGACATGAATACAATTTGGAGCTATTTTTAAATTTTTGTGAGTGATTTAAAGTGAAAATTTTGAAAAATATCTTTTTTGGAGTTTTTTAAAATTTCAAAATTCAACTACAAGTGAAATTTGAAATTTTCATGGCCAAACACTGACTTCGAAAAAAATTAAAAAAATTCAAAAAAACAATGAACATCTGACTCATTATCAAGAATTACTGCATGTTTGATATTGTTAGTTATCTTATTCCCATTCTCATAAGCCAAGGCTCTTCCACCATTTCGATCCGCTGGTGCAAGTTAAATAGGTGTCTCGTGGAATTAATTGAGGTGGCCTAAATGTCACGGTTATCGAAAAAAGGATCTTGAAAGAAAGTACTACTTGGGTTCCAAGATCTGTTATTGCTTTGTCTCAAAATGGAAACATTGAATTGTGACACAACTTGTAACTCCGTAAAGATGGCATAAAACATAAGAAACTCTAAAAGGGTCTCTGAGGCAGGGGCAAAGCTAGAAGTCTGACTAGTTCGGTCAAACCCGATAACTTTTGCTCAAACAGTATTTTTGTATTAAGAAATTTATTAATATATATAAATATTAAAGTTAAAACTTAGCTCCGCCTCTTCTTGTTGGATGCAAATGTTTCAAGAGTTGGAGGGAAGGAAGGGGATAGTTTCACCTTAACTAGTAGCTGAAACAAGTTTAGACTGCCTATCTCAAAGTGTGGTGATTCAAAGACTATATTTAATTTGAAAATAATAACAAAAGTATTTAAACTAATCAGTGAATACTATTCAACAGAGGCGGATACATGATTTAAACTCTATGGTTTCAACTTTAATATTTTTAGCCTTGCGACTCATTATTTTTTAAAGTTACGAGTTCATATTTATGATATGTTGTAACTGTTGCGAATTTTTACATACAAATTTATGCTCCGTACTGAAAGTACTGAGTTCAGATGAACCCGATACGAAAGAACCGGATTCAACCAAAATAAGACAAATCATCAATAAGGTAAGCTAGATTATTCCCTATTCATTCATTAAGAGTAGATTGAAGATGATTTTAGTTGTGTTTCCTACAAATATAAGTAAAAATTTTCAAAACGTATAACCCTACCCTACATTTTCTAGCCCTAGTTGTCCCTACCCTTTACTTCTCTAGAGCCATCGCAACATCTAATGCACCGTTACCTACTTGGCGGTATCATTGAATGAATTGAACATTTTCTATTCGTCCGAATTTATGTGATATTATTTGATTGGACTTAATGATATATTAAAGTCGAGGAGAAGACTATGTTCAAGAACGAAATATTTCCTTCAACCCAACTCATGTGATGTTGTGTTATTTGGTACAGAGTTTAAAAATAAGAATAATTTTTAAAATTTATAGTCTAAAATAAGTTTTAGATATTTTGGTGATTACAAATCATTTCATTAATAGAATAAGTTTTAGGGCAATTATCACCTTTAGCCCACGTTAAAAATTATTTACATTCGATAGTCGAAAAATTATTTTAAAAATTATTTAAAAATTATAGCCGAAATAGTGTATAAAATTTATATAATATTTGTATATAACAGACAGAAATATATATANCAAAGTTGTGTTTGAATATAAGGGAATTTGAAGTCCTTACTAGAGACAAGTGTATTGTCTAACACGCTTTGATTTCATTTAAATAATCCTTAATAGAGTTGGCTTTAGATAGCTCGTTATTAATTGCAGTAGATGTTCAATGGTTTGGTTAAGCTATACGAATAGGTGGGAAGACATGTAGCATAGATCTAGGCCATTAAATCTTGACCTAAACTTTCTTTCTCTTAATATAACATTAGTATTTGCTAAAATCTTGATAATTTTCTTGACTCTTTGAAGGTGTGGCTACTTGTTTTTTTCCGTGCATCACTATGGGGGAGAATGCTGAGATTATATCAAAAGGAGAAACATGTAAGCTTATAATCTTCCTTAATTCCTTTGTCAATTTTGCTTATTGGTTAGTGATCTCCAATGTTTTTAGGCCATGGAAATTTAACATAAAGTTGAGAGTGACGCTTATATAAATCGTCAGTGTGAAAAATAAATTACACTATTAGGTCATTTAAAGAATATTTATAGGTAAACCTCCTTAAAATATGACATTTGTTTGAAAATAAACCAGGTTATCCACTACAACATATAAAAATAACATGATGGTATAAAAAAATTATACTGACGATATATATAACTTAAACAAATTTTTTTTGACAGACAAACTAAGTGCTTACACTAAGAATATGCTGCATTGCTTCTCGTTATAGGACCCTCGTCAATATTTGCATGTTGTTTTAATATTTTTACTAATATATCCTCTCGGAATCATGTTAATTTCTTTATTTTATATCATTTAATTTTGGATCTTTACATAATATTTTTTCTAGTTGTTATACATAGTTAGTTAATTTAGGCGACAGAATGAGCGACTATTTTGGTTAATTTTTCTTTTATTTTTCAGCTTGTATAGCAGCAACCACAATCTACTATTTGCTGTGCTCAATCGGCTGTCAACCTGGTTATGGATTTCTTTACAGATCGAGACTACGAAAACTGTTAGGTTTTCCAAAGGAAGCATGTAAAGATAATATTGTGCATACCTGCTGCTGTTTTTGTGCACTTTGCCAAGAACATAGAGAACTCAAACTACATGGAGCTGATCCCACCATTGGTAATAATTACCCGTGTAAATATTTTTTACACCAACAATAGAAAATCTCAAAAAAAGAAACCGAATAAGGTTTAAATGTAAAGTATTAAGACAACAACAATAGAAGGGGAAAGAAAGAAAGAAAGAAAGAAGGTAAGAAGGAATTTACCCTTTATTTTCCAAGACTAAATTTAGTCATAATATCGGGGAAATTCAAAAATAGTCAGATTTACAAGTGGTAATTAAAAAATAGTCACAATTTCAAAAGTAATAGAAATTTATTCACTTTTCATGTAAAGATAAATCTGAACGCAAACACTGTTCAAAATCCGGAAAATATTCCAGCATAATATACTGAAGTTCCAGTATAATATACCGGTCCAACATAATATGTTAGAAGTTCATACACAGGTACTCCAATCTCCAGTATATTATGCTGGAACTTTTCGCGTGTTGGAGTTCCAACATAATATGCTGGAAGTTCATACACAAGTGCACCAATCTCCAGTATATTATGCTGGAACTTTTCGCGTGTTGGAGTTCCAACATAATATGCTGGAAGTTCATACACAAGTGCACCAATCTCCAGTATATTATGATGGACCGGTCCGTGTTGCAATAAAATAATGGCTATTTTTTAATGACTTTGCAAACGCTGGCTATTTTTCAATTAGCCGTCCGAAAAAATTTGGCCCGATAGTATAACAAAGGTAAATAGGTAAATTTGACCCTTTTCCTTAAATATAATGTCATTTAAGCGTAAATTTAGGATAATTTTTTGGTTTCTCTTTATTATGTCTCCACTTGCCAATAGATTATAAAATTGTGGATCAAAGACGATTGATTTTAACAGATTTTTTTATTTATTGACGATTGTGTTACAGGTTGGAAAGCAAATGTAGAGAATTGGAAAAGCCAAGCGGTCACTGTGCCTCCGTTCTTTGAACCGGAGATGATGCGTTAGGCCTATGTTTAGAATTTAAAATTCATAGATTTGAATGTTAATTTTAAAGATTTGAGTTTGAAATTTTACCATAACTAATTTGATGTGCTGAGTTTGAAATTACTTACTTTTACTTATTTAATAAAATTTTCGACACATATATAGACAATCACAAACTGTCTTCGTGTGATCTATAGGTTACGGGTTCGAGCCGTAAAATTAGTCACTAAAACTTGTATCATAGTAGGCTACCTACATCATATCCCCTTGAATAGTAACTCTTCTTCGAATCCTACGTGAATACGGGATACTTAGCATATCGAACTGTTCTTACATATATATTCAGAAGATAAGGAAAGGATGAGCAGGAAGTTAAAGATTGACCAAAGACTATATATTACTAGAGTAAAAAACATATATCAATTTATTCTTGAAGTAATCTCTAGAATTTATCAAATTAATCGACTTTGCATTTTTAGACTCTTTTAGTTAGTATTTATGAGTTGATGTGTGTGCATCCAAAGAAGTACGGAGCCCTGACATCTACTATCAAACCGACCTAAAATCATATGCATTTTTAGATATCGTTTTTTTGACAAGTATAGTGAGTTGAGTTATAAATCGCAGTATGCGAATGCGGCTTATAAATTGCAGTTTGTAAATGCGATTTATATAAATCGCAATTGATGTTTGCGACATATACATCTTAATTGCTGAGCTTATAAATCGTTTTTGCTGCCGCGACTCGTTCCTATTCTTCGTCTACTCGCCGTTACTCTTTTTTCGTTTCTGTTTAACCTTAAGTTGCATTGACGTTATACTAGAGCAGTGAAAGTATACTTTCTCTTGTGTTACTCCAATGTACTTAATTTGTTTTGGTAATTAATTGAAGTTTATTACATATACTTAATTAATGAAGAGTTTTAACCAACTTAAGTGTAACGATCCGAGCGGTCGTTTTGAGAGTAATAGCCCCGATCCCCTATTTACTGCTTTTCCCGTATCTTTTTCTGCTTATGTGACTTGCCGGGAGGTTTTGTTTGTGGTTTCGGAGTGACTTGGGACACTTAATCCCTAAAGCGGAAGCTTAAGTAATAGGATTTTGACCGTGGTCGAAACTGTGTGAAGACAACTCCGGAATGGAGTTTCGTCGGTTCCGTTAGCTCCGTTGGGTGATTTTGGACTTTGAGCGTGTCCGGATTGTGAATTGGAGGTCTGTAGCTAAATTATGCTTGAAATGACGAAAGTTGAATTTTTGGGAAGTTTGACCGGAAGTGGACTTTTTGTTATCGGGGTCGGATTCCGATTCCGGAAGTTGGAGTAGGTCCGTAATGTCGAATATGATTTGTGTGCAAAATTTGGGGTTAATCAGACGTGATTTGATAGGTTTCGGCATCAGTTGTAGAAGTTTGAAGTTTCAAGTTCATTAAGTTTGAATTGGAGTGTGATTCGCGTTTTTGTTATTGTTTGATGTGATTTGAGGGCTCGACTAAGTTTGTATGATGTTTTAGGACCTGTTGGTATGTTTGGTTGAGGTCTCGGGGGCCTTGGGTTGATTTCGGGTGGTTAACGGATCATTTGGAAATGTGTTAGATTGGCTGAAGTTACTGCACCTGGTGTAATCGCACCTGCGCACTATGGGCCGTAGGTGCGACCCCGCAGAAGCTGCCATAGAGCCGCAGAAGCGATTATGGGCCTGCCCAACTGGGACCACAAAAGCGGTCAGAGTCTCGCAACACCGGACTCGCAGGAGCGGTGAACGAAATGGAGTTTCGTCGGTTCCGTTAGCTCCGTTGGGTGATTTTGGACTTTGAGCGTGTCCGGATTGTGAATTGGAGGTCTGTAGCTAAATTATGCTTGAAATGACGAAAGTTGAATTTTTGGGAAGTTTGACCGGAAGTGGACTTTTTGTTATCGGGGTCGGATTCCGATTCCGGAAGTTGGAGTAGGTCCGTAATGTCGAATATGATTTGTGTGCAAAATTTGGGGTTAATCAGACGTGATTTGATAGGTTTCGGCATCAGTTGTAGAAGTTTGAAGTTTCAAGTTCATTAAGTTTGAATTGGAGTGTGATTCGCGTTTTTGTTATTGTTTGATGTGATTTGAGGGCTCGACTAAGTTTGTATGATGTTTTAGGACCTGTTGGTATGTTTGGTTGAGGTCTCGGGGGCCTTGGGTTGATTTCGGGTGGTTAACGGATCATTTGGAAATGTGTTAGATTGGCTGAAGTTACTGCACCTGGTGTAATCGCACCTGCGCACTATGGGCCGTAGGTGCGACCCCGCAGAAGCTGCCATAGAGCCGCAGAAGCGATTATGGGCCTGCCCAACTGGGACCACAAAAGCGGTCAGAGTCTCGCAACACCGGACTCGCAGGAGCGGTGAAAGGAACGCAGAAGCAGGCGCGCAGAAGCGGTCCTTGATCGCATAAGATATTTTTGAGGACTTAAGTTAAGTCCGCACCTGCGATAGTTTTTCCGCAGGTGTGGAACCGCAGGAGCGGTAAACCCCTCGCAGAAGCGAGATCGCTGGGCGGAAAAAGGCTAAGTTTGAGGATTTTATCCCATTTTTATTTTGGAACTTTGAGAGCTTGAATTTAGATGATAATTTGAGGGATTTTCAGAGGAAGCTTTTGGGTAATGATTCTTAACTCATTTATGGTTATATTCCGTTAATCTATAGTTGATTTCAACATTTAATTAAGGAATTTGGTTGAGAAATTTGGGAAAAAGTTGAAAAGTTCTTCAACTAAGTTTTTGAGTTTTGATTCGGATTTTGATATCGGATTTGGATAATTTTGGCACGAGTGAACTCGTGAGTGAATGAGTGTGCATATTTTGTGACTTTTACCCAATTCCGAGACATGGGCCTGGCCGACATTTTGGAGCGATTTTCTAATTTCTTGCTTAAGCCTTGATTTCATTAATTAGATTAGTTTCTTATAATTATATTTATGGTATGTAATTGCTTTGGCTAGATTTGGGCCATTCGGAGTCGGAAAATCGTGGAAAAGGCATTCTTACTGATTGATTGAGTTTGGTTCGATGTAAGTGGCTTGCCTAACCTTGTGTGGGGAAAATCCCCTTAGGATTTGGTACTGTGGTAATACTTCTGTGATATGTGAGCGTCGTGTATGTGAGGTGACGAGTGCGTACACGGGCTAATTATTGTAAAATTCGATTTTCACCGAATAATAACCCGTTTCTTCTCAATTGAGTTATACGAGCATATGTAGTTATCATATTAGCCTAATATCGCATGTTTACGTGTCTTAAATACTTATTTGTACTTTGTGCAGCATGCTTAGTTGATTTCATGTTTTTCCTTTATGCATATCAATCTTAACTGTAGAATTCTTGCTATAAATTATTGTATTTATCGTTTTGAGCTATGTGTTTACTTTTGGGATTACGAGGCGGTACCTCGGGAGGTCCCCCCTGCACATTTACTTTTGAGACTACGAGGCGGTACCTCGGGAGATCTCCCTGCACATTTACTTTTGAGACTACGAGGCGGTACCTCGGGAGATCTCCTTGCATATTTACTTTTGGGACTACGAGACGGTATCTCGGGAGATCCCTTGTTGTTTGTCCCTATGTGTTATGTTGTTATCTTTCTGTAGTTTCTCCTCGTTAAAATTCCAGTCTTTTATTACACTGCAATATTTCTCTGCCTTATTTATTATATATATACCAGTAGGGCCCTGACCTGACCTCGTCACTATCTCGACCGAGGTTAGACTTGGCACTTATTGGGTATAGTTGTGGTGTATTATGCTACTCTTTTGCACATATTTTGTGTGTAGATCCAGGTACTTCTTACCAGCCAGGTCATCAGTGAGCAGTGGGATTTTGGAGACTTGAAGGTATATCTGCCGCGTCCGCAGACCTCGGAGTCCCCCTCTATTCCCTCCTATGTCATTTACCTTTCGTACTTCTTTTCTTAGACTCTCGTGTATAGAGATACTAGTTTCTTCTGTACCTTATGACTTATGATGTTCCGAGTTTTGAAAATACAGTGTATACTCGAGTGTTGGTTATTGTACATGCAGAATGGTATTTTTATCAGTTATTTAATTATCTGTTGCAGTTAGTTGTTAAAGTTTTGCTTTTATTTTCTTTATTTCACAAATGTTAGGCTTACCTAGTTGTAGAGATTAGGTACCGTCACGACATCTTACGGAAGGTGAATTGGGTCGTGACAGTAAGCATTGCTGCAAAATTTTAAAAGAAGGATTAAAGTTATTTAAAATTATTTAAATTGAGTTAAAATTATTTACATCTTTCCATTTTACTTTAAAAAAAATAATCAAAATCCTCTTCTAACTACGATAATAGATATTATCATCCTCCCATCTCAATTTAATTTTCAGTTCTTATTTAACCCTCTAGATTATCAATTTATTTATAATTTTTTTCTAATATCATGATATTTTTCTTAATCTATATTATGAACCTACATATGAAACAATTAGATCTTATTTTTGATATGAGAAAAAAAATAGAAATCAAGTATATAAGTTAATAGCATTGAATAATGAAGAAATTAGCAACTAAAGATGCATGCTATTTGGTAGGGGTGTCAATAGATCTTTAAAAACCGACTAAACTGACCGAACCAAGCTGTACCGAATCGATTATCATGTTTCTTTTAATAAAACCGTAAGTTTTTATATAAAACTATAATCATACCAATAATTATGGTAGCTTTTTAATTTTACAAAAGTAAACCGAAAAATACCGAACCGCCCCGAATAATTTTATATAAAAAATATATATTTAATTTATATATTAAGTTTAAAAATAACAAAACATTAATTTTTTCCATGGAAATGTCTACAAGCCAACAAGTAATTAAAGCCCAAAGTCTCAACTCTCAAAACTATTGTGCTACTCCTATTGAAACTAAATTAGTTCTAGCTATCATCTTGAGTAGGAAGTCGCAGGTATTCCAACGATCTTGAATAGTAAATCATAAGGTATTGAATATCTTTCCTCTCGTATAATTTAGATTTTTCTTATTGTATACCTAATCTTCTAATCGACTCTATTCTTGAGTCCAATCTCGATTAATATATTTCAACTCGTGTGATCTATATTTCTTTTGTCTTTGCTCAATTTCTCTTACATGCACTATATTAAAATAGTGAGAT